ATTTCAAATGAGCTGTTATAGAGTTCATCAAGCACTGTAAAAGCTATGGAATCTTTAATATAAACACAAACACCACCATGGGTGCCTTCGACCCTGTCTCTACGAATTAGGTTATATCCTTGTATATTGATAATATTATCGTGAATGTGACTCTGTAGCCAAGTCTCTACCAGACTGACAAATTCATAATTACCACAGCGTATTACTTCACGTACTTCGTCTATTTTTGGAGACAGTGACATCACATTTGATAGTAGAAACGAGGGGACATATACTGTCCCGGACCCCTTAGGTTTATTGGTCGACATTCAAAACTTGCAGAATCTAAAATATTTGTTGTTGCACCAGAGTCAAGAACTAATCTTATATCCGTTTCGTTTATTTTTGCCGTCACGAAAACACCCTTGTTTGTTTTGGTTACCTTCGTTGGTCTGAACTTGAATTGACCTTGGGTCAAGGTGAAGGTGTATTCGTCGCTGTCGTCATTCGCCGAACTTCCAGTTCCGGTTTCTCTTGGCGTTGTTATGATTGCTTTAATAGAGTTTTCGATTTCATTCGATTTTTCCCGGTTTTGTGCACGAAATTCTTGGTTTCTCATTGGGGAACTGCGGCAAACTTTGGCAAAATGGTTGAGCTTTCCACACGAACGACATGATTTTCCTTGTGCTGGGCAAACTTGTTTGTGACCTGGAAAATAGTTGCTACCACAGTTAAAACAGTTATCAGTATATTTTCCGGATACATTCGCTGTTTTGCTTACTTGTTGAAATGACTCGTTCTGGTCGCCACTTCGAGAACGATTGGTTGTAAGTCGATTCAGTTTGGTATCTTCTTCGTCGGCCATGACACTGGCATGACGATTAGCGGTTTCCTGTACCCGGGCTAGTTCTTGTAGCTTTTCGAGAGTGAGTGTCGGCTCACGAAGTAATTTCGCACGAAATACCTTTCACGGCCAAGTGATTACAAAATGATCTCGAATTTCATCTTCTACACTCGCAAACTCACATGTATCCGCTAGCTGTCGAAGACGTGTAATGAAATGATCAACCGATTCGTCAGAGCTGGGTCGGGTTTGTTTGAGTACATATCTCTCGTAAATTACATTTTTCTTATCGAGTTTCTCCACAGCTGTTTTATAATCTGTGCCAGTATCGGTTAACGTGTTGAAAATCGTATGAACTGCGGGACCAGCAACGTAGAGTAGGAGAGCACGCTTTTGTTTGGCATCCGTTATATTTGCTGCAAGCAAGTACATGTCAAACTCTTTCACGCCAGTCTTTCCATCGTTGAGCTAAGAACGACTTGTCACTTTCGGCATCAAAAGCAGGCGGTGGTGCTAAATGCGTAAGTTTCGTTGCCATATTTCTTGAAAATAATCCTCGTCGCCAAATATAATGAAGTCAGTTTGTAATAAAATAATATATTTAAATAATTAATGTGAATCAGTGAATGTCCTAGATCCATCCTCGCTTTCCTTGCTCGATACAACAGTACATGTGTTCACTGTCCCGTGACTAGATCATGTGACCTGTACGTCACAATACTATACTACCCAAATAAATAATGAACATATGCTCGTCAAAGTTTTCAACAATTTATGGCGAACCTCAACAGCGAAAGTTACCATTCTCTGATCGGTTTTCTCACGCCGAAGTATCTTGCAGTTCTTAAGTTACAAGTTATTCCCCGATTTACGGGTAAGGGTACGTGTATATCACCCGTACCTGTAAACCGCAACCAGGGTATCATAACCTCTCTATTATCTGATCGTGAAGTATACTCAGTTTTCTGAGGTGTATATATTATTTTCACATATTATATACATTAAGCGGTATATTTTCCCAATACTTTTATTCTCACCATGGGAATTAATTCATGGTTACATATGTTAATATAAAATACCAGTTTGGCTATGTACCAAAACTAACAGTACTGACAAAAATTGCACACAACCATGAACATGTGAGCTAAGTGAACAAACTCGAATTTTCACTAATAATTTAATAGTTATTTAATATAATTAAATGTAGAATTAGTAGCTATATATATTTTCTAATACTTCTATTCTCTCAATGGGAATTATTTGGTTATATATTAATATGAGTTTTGCTTATGTACCTAAATTAATAGTACTGACAATTGACAAACAATTCCACACAACTATGAACATGTGAGCTAAAAAACAACATCAAATTTTCCGTTATTCAGAAAGTAATGAGTCTATAGAGACAACAATGTTGGCATTGTAGTGGCAGCCATGCAAATTTGGTCTTACACTGTGCCATATGCAAATTGCTCTTACTGAATTCTTTAACTTTGATTGAAATATAAGCTGGAAGGAGTCTATAGCTGTTAGAAGACAGGTTGTACCTGCGCAGACAAGGAGAAGCTACAATATCATATGGTCGCCAATTGATCTGTTAGGAAATGTTGTGTTTTCATTCAAAGCGATTCCTTACTCGTCTTACCATCACAAGCTTGTTTCTGGGGATACATTATACGCTTGGTTATGCTATTACAGGAATGCTTCAACAAATTCACACGAAGGACGTCTGACCGTTTTAGAGCTTACTTCAAACTGTTCTTCTCAGACAATATTGACGACTCGTCAAGCCAACTGTTTAAATTCAAGCACGATTCTTTCTTTGAAAACTGATTGTGATTGACTCATTCACTGATAGTTATGGTAATTTAACATTAAAAACAAAACTTGATCTATAATAGGCTCATTGTTTTGCAAGTGTGAATGTAACCAAGAAAGCCACAAAGTTAGCAGTAAATATTTCATTAGGTTACTATACTGAGCGACAAAATCTTCAATGTTTTTAAAACTTTCTCGTCGAAGATTATAGCTAGGGAATACGCTCAGATTTTTTTATGTTGAAGTTACAAAAAAAGGAAGGGGACTGTACAAGAAATCATCTGATCTTTGAATTGTATTGGTGAAGGTATTGCGCTACACACCAAAAGAAAGAAGGAAAGAAAGAAACATTGTCATTGGCATTTATATTGAAGACCCAGCTATTGTGTTTAAATTGACTAACGACTTGCTCGTGGAATTAAAACGATAAGGAAATGGAGCTACTGAAGAGAAACAACCTGTTGCTGAAAAAGACCTAAAAACGTTATGATAATTTTGACATATCAACACCCAAAGTTATTCAGCGGAAGGTCTGGACGGATATGATGCTTTGCTTCTTTCGTCGTGGTCGAGAAAACCTAGAGAAATGACGTAAAACACTTTTGAAATCTAAGCTGATGCTGGCAGCAACCTTTATGTTACACAACAATCGATGAAACAGATAAAAACCTTAGGGAAGACTGATAGAAACGCCACAATTGGAGAGGGTTGGATGTACAAAAACCTTCAATCAATTCACGGTCCTGTAAAAACTTTTGAAAAGTACATTTCAAAACTCCATCCTCACTATGCAGGTCTACAGCTCTGTGGCAAAGACCGTGCGATATGCAACCGTATGAAAGTCCTGTGGGCGAAAAAAAGGCCTACCACGATTGAAATTTTAAATGTAGTGGGATTTAACGAGTAACGACAGAGAGATCATGAAAATATGCGGCCATGCATAGAAGTGTAACAGAGTTATCGTAACAGATCGAATCACCGAGCAGTGCAAGCTAGCTAGGATAACTTCCCTTCAACAGCATTGGAGAGGCGATTACCTGTTCAGCTCGTGTAGAATCAGAAGAAGACAAAAGGTTACTTCCCAAATCTCTGGTCTCATCTATTTCTTTATGTTCACCGCCTGGAAGCTCATTCGTGTTCAATTTTCAACAATCGACCACAAGTCATTCAAGATCTTTTCTGATTAGTTTTAAGCCAGGACAAATGAATTTTAATAACAGTAATGTCACTCTTAACTTCGGTAATCGTTAAAGGAAGTTCGACTTTAATTCCGTTGACTTTGGAACTATATTCGGGTTTTATTTATTCTAGACATGAATCTGGTAAATTGTCAGTGATATTCTATTCTAAAATTTTCATTCAACACATTGGTGCAACATTTTGACCCTATCTAGATTCAATACCTGCGTAATTATTGTGAAGCTGGAACAACAATATATGATCTTATAATGGTTTTCGATTGATCTACTATAAAATGATTTTTATATATTCGAAGCGATTCCTGACTCGTCTTATCGTCAAAATCTTATTTCTGTTCTTCGGGATGCATTACGCTTGGCTATGCTATTATAGGTATGCCTCAACAAATTCACACGAGGAACGCCTGGCCGTTATACGGCCTAATTCATACCGTAATTCTCCGCCAAAATGGACGACGCGACAAAGTCATCGCCTAAATTCAAGCACGGTTCCGCGCGGCTGCAACACGACTGTTTTTGTTCTCATTGTCGTCTTTTCGTCGCCGAAGAACTTTGAACAGAGGTCTATTATTCGCTCTACATGGGCTGAAATTAAAGACATGGATCCTGAAATAACAAATATTATTAGTGAAGGGCCTTACAGTGCGGAAAGTATGATTAAAACAGTGTTTTTACTTGGACAAACTAACAAGGAAACTCAACGTAGTATAGAAACGGAATCGGAATATTACAACGATCTTGTGATTGGCTCATTCACTGATAGTTATGGTAATTTAACATTAAAAACAAAACTTGGTCTACAATGGGCTCAAACGTTTTGCAAGTTTGAATACTATTTGAAGACAGATGACGATGTCTTTGTGTACAGCAAGGGACTTGTGAAATGGTTGTGGCAATTACCAAAAGAGAGGGTCTATACCGGTAGATGTGATTTTAATAAGACGGTGATTCGAACAGTCGGGCACAAATGG